TCCTGCCGCCGCCATTGCCTTTAGTTTGATCTCCAGTTCTTGGGAGAAATCAAGATCTGATCTTGATTCCAATCTTTTAAGAAAAGATTGGTTGGAGCTGTACTCACAAGCCATCCAGTTGATTCTTGTGAAGGGTCAAGTTCTTTTGAAAGAACATTGCTGATTCTGCTCCATTCTGCATTGCGCCATCTTCAGTGGGAGCAGATTTTGGATCCTTCCTTGGGCGTGAACGCCTCCATTGGGAGATATTGATTCTCTGTATCAGGTATATCCTCCCTCCTACTTCTTTTGGTTCTTGATTCAATATTGATCCTTGAAAATATGTTTTCTGAAATAGGGAATTCGATTCCCTGCAAAGATGGGAGAAATTTTTGAAATTCGCCCTATCCGTTCCGCAAGATTTTGGCGTCCATAAGATGGATATCCCATCCCTTCAAATAAAAGGCTAAGGCCATTATGAGAGTCATCATGTCTTAGCAACGACAACGAACAGTATTGTCACAGACATGAATATGGAAAGCAATAGTGTCCTATTTTATATCCTTGTATTATGTTTTTATATCTAGTTTTCGAAGTTGAAGTGTCATTTCTTCGAGAACCCCCTATTTGGTAATGTTGTTCATTCATTCACCTTAATAAAATATCTTCTCAAAAAGCAATTAAAATTATAAAATCATTATTTTTTATGTGAAAATTAAGAATTTAAGACCCTAACATGGAACTGTTTGGGCTTGCCTCAAGGGGCGTGGTCGGGGGTCCAAGGGTGGACCGGCCCATCTGCTAGGTTCAAAAAAAGCAAAAAAGCGTAAAATTTTCAAAAGGCTCACACTTGGGCTAAGGCATAAGGCGCATCAGGTGCACGCCCAATCGCACCAGGCGTGCACCTTTTGAAACTGCTACGCCTAGGACCTAGGCGAGGCGCCTCGCCTATGCACCTAGGTGCGCCTCAAGTATGCCTTTTAAATCACTGGTTGCACTTAATCCTAGACTTGATTATGATACTTCACTAAGTTTAGGACTGAACTGTCTTTGATGTGCCAACCAATGAGATCCATCAAGGGTCAAATATCTAGGCATGTTTGGGCAGTTTGGGATATCACCTGAGTGGGTGATCATAGTAATAGAATCGGCCCCTTTGTTAGACAAAGTGAATATCAAGCTTTACACTCTCTGATGGAAACTAAACTGCCGTCAGTGGATTTTAACTGTATTTGAAATCTGATTTGCAAAATATATTTATATGTAATATTATTATTTTATGAAAAATGTTTGTAAAAGGTTTTAATCTCGAGATCCATCCAAACAGAGAGTGTGACACTGCATTTCACAGTCATGGAAGAGGTCCTTCCCTATGGGCAAGTGTTTCGATGATTATGGGCTGAGAGACTAGGTGCAAGAGACCATTACAGGGTTGATTACCTGATGGGCTTTATCTTACATAAATCCATTATCCTTGAGTCTTCATAGGGTGGCTGAATCCAATGATCATTTATGTGTAATGTTGGGCCCAAACTGAGCCCAAGCTGATTGGGTCAAGAGTTCACTGCCCCTAAGCAGTGGATTCGGCCTAACCTCTACCAAAGGTGGGTCAAACCCTTATGGACTTTTTTGAGACCTTTGTGGGTCCCGCACCATACAATATTCAAGCCAAAGTGGCCATACAACACCTTAGTACGTGAACCATTAGAGAAAATGGGCCTAAGGCCCACTACTAATATGATTATTTAAGCGATT